GGGGTTCTTGGGGTTTGGTTTTTTTGTATTTTGAAATTCATTTACGATTTTGTGGTTTGTTTCAGCCCTTATTTGAGTTGTAGTGCCAGAAAACTCTTATTAACAATTACACTGTTGTTTGTATGCTTTGGTTTGGTTTTTTGGTTTTTTCCTCGTTTCTCCCAATGGTAGGTTTGGCTATGACAAAAACCCATCACTGACATTAATATGCAGTCTTGTCTTTACTTCTTGCGTGGAAAGTGTGTTAAAGTTGTCGTCAGTCTTCAGAATTTACATTAACATTTCTTAAACACAAAAGAAAGTGAGAACTGAAAGGCTGCTATGTGCACAGGAAGTTGAGCAAATGGGCGGCCATTGTTGACAAAGAATATGACAAGGAAAGTGAAAGAGATAAACAAAAACCACTCACCGTCATCACACGAATCAGATTCATCTGAACTCTGACCTTCGCGTCGTGGTTGCACTGAGCATCTGAGGCGGTGTTAAGATTCATTCTCCAAAAAAAAAAAAGTTTTCTTAATAATAATAAAAAAACATAATAATAATAATATATGACACATTAAAGTTGTTGACCAAAAATTAGAAAATTCTAGAAAAATGTTTTACCTAAAGCCCCGAAAAATGTTGATTTCTTTGACTTCTTTCTTTAGCAGAGGTTTTACGGCACTCGCAACTGCATAAGGTCATATGAGCGCCAGAAGACCAGAGGTGTTACAAGAGAGTAACAAACATAAAAAAGGAGAAGGGGAGATAAGGATGATAGATGTTTGATAGGAATGAAGAAGCAAACCACAGCAGAGCACCCGCCAACCACCCACTCTTTGACTTCATTGTTTTGACAAGTGCCTGATTTCACCACGCTGCCTCACAAAACTAATTATCGGCCGACGCAGAGACAGCGCGACAAGGATACATCGCCCGATGAGCTCCATGCTGTTGGAGACGTACTCCTGCACTTTGGCGGTCAGGTAGGCACACTTGAGCGACGTCTCCAGGATGGAGGTGAGCAGCGACCACCAGCGCTCGCCGCGGTAGTCCCATGTCACCTTGTTCAGGAGGCTGGAACACAGGAGAGGAAATAACGACGAAACAACGACATTAAATAATGTACCACACATCAAAAAAGATGAAACAACGACATTAAATAATGTACCGCAAAGCAAATAAGTTTTCTCACATGTGACAAATGAAATATTATACAGACAATGAAGACGAGGAAACAACAACACAAAATATAGAACGACAAAGCATATCAGTTCTTTCAGATGTCAGAGATGAATTATTATACCCATGTTGTACAGCAAGAATCAGGTAATCTTATCTTTACAATGATCATAGAAACAACATGATTCGCATCCTGCCACTTAAGGGCATCACACTTTGTCTGTATCGGATAAAACAACTACCTTACAGCAAATGAAACCACTATTTTTTTTAAAATAATTTGTTTCCAATAATTTAATTTTTTAAAATTAAAAAGCGCTCAAATGACCTTATGCATTTCCAAGCACTGTAAAACCTTACTAAACCAACTAAAATTAATGAATAAAATTAAGGAAATTTTTATTTCCCAAAGCCTAAAATTAAAAGTTACAGAACTGTTGATACTAAAAGGTCACGAAACACAAAGTAGCTCTTGAAGTCAGTCGATACTTCTCTTGAGGAGAAAGGAGAAAGTCTGTCAAAATCCCCAGTCAACCCCCCCGTAGGACATTTACACACACACACACACACACACACACACACACACACACACACACACACACACACACGTTGTTTTACTTCAGTAATTGTCAGCAACTCACATGAGAGCCTTGACGTAGTCTTTGGCGTGATAGTACTCCTCTCCCATCTGTACCACTGGAGGAGGGGCAAAAAGAGGAATGTGAGGGAGACGGATAGGGAGAGAGACAGAGGGAGGGGGGAAGGAGGGAGGGAGGGAGATGGAGAGAGAGAGAAAGAGAGAGATTGAGAGAGAAAAAGAAAGATAAAGAGAGAGAGAGAGAGAGAGAGAGAGAGAGAGAGAGAGAGAGATCCACAAATCAAACAAAAGCATGTAATGTGCAAACCATTTATAATTTCAAAAGCTATTACTCTGTTATAAATCACCAGTCCTAAAGACAAGCTGTGTCGTAACAGCAAAATTACAATCAGAATGCAAATCACAAATGGTGTTGGTGCAAAACAGGACAAAGCATACTATAAACACAGCTTAGAAAAAGTCTTACTATTTTGTTTGTCTGAATGAAGAGAGAAGAACATCGAAACGATAACGATCATTCAGTGCAAGGAAAATAGAAGACAGACAGACGGGAACAATCATGAGAAATAAGACAAGTAGAATCTACTACTCACAACCTCAGAGCTTTCTCGTCATATCTCCATTTTTCTTTAACAGTGAAAACAGTTCATAACAAAGAGCGAGCTTAAGAAGAAGTCACATTTTCCTCGATTAAAAAAATTGGAGATATGACAAGAAAGCCCTGAGGTCACGTATTGGAGCCCCTCCAACCATCCACCTTACGACACACACAAACAAGAACAAAAACTAGATGACTCACTGAGGAATCTCTTCATGCGTGGAGACTTGTACTTGCGGAACTGTGCCACAGCGCTGCTCAATAGAGGGATGATCAGCCACTGAAACACACAAACACTTGGACGTTATTGAGGAAAAAAAACAAAAACAAAAAACCCCCCAAAAACAAACATAAGAAACCAGTGTTTATTCCGACACTTTCATGGGAGTGTATATCGTGGTGACATAAGGCGCTCGTCAAAATAATGACAGAGAAGAAACCAACATTTTCTGCTGTATGGGCAATTTTGATCAATTGTCTGTTTTGACTCCTCACTTTTTATGTCCATTCAAAAGCACATTTCTGTGCGGATTTTATTGAAAAACTTTGATCAAAAACCACAAAAATGTAAATTTGCAGTTTCCAAGGACTTTCAAATTTTGGAAGTCAACAGACTTTGTCAGCCATTTTCTCGCTTATTTTATCTCTGACACCAAACAACCTTCACCTGCTTCAATTGCAAAATATTTGGGATTGATGGGTATTTTTTTCATCTAAAGTAAGTCAAATGAACAAACTTGAAGACGATACCAATAACTTAGTGGAGCTCTAAATGATGTCTGCGGACTAATGTTTGCACACAGAGGGCACGAGTTCAGTTCCAGAGTGGGAAAGTTTCTGTCAAATATCTCCAGGATGCTGTATCATACTCATTCTGGAAAGGCACAGAGTGGCACGGTCGGAGCAGCCAGCCTCCTAAATCAGGTAAAATGTGTAGATAGGGAGCACAACACATATTACATGTTGATGGAGAGGGCAAATCATTGACAACAGCTTCCACTCACCGAGTGGTCCACTTGTCGCTCTTTGGTCTGAAGGGAGAGAATTCCTTCCCGCTCCTTCTGCAGGTCTGGAGGCTCGATACCTGGGGACAGTTTGGCAGGAATCAGCGAGACGGAAACATAATGCAGGATGATTAACGACTCTTTCTGAAACTTCAGATGTATAGCAGGTAAGAAAACTGAACCGGCCCCAGTTTCAAAGGTTGTACCAAAGAAGAAACAATTAGGAAGTATTGAAAATAGAACCAAGGTAGCAACTTAATCATTGTTTGAACGAGCCTTTTTGCCCTTTTAAAACTGCTACAGTGATGGCGGCAGCAAAAAGTTTCAGCTGAGAACAACAACAAAATCAACAACAGCCCCAGTTGCTGGGATGTACTTATGCCAGGGGGACAACAAAGGGAAACACTCACTCTGATGGCCCTGTCTCCACTTGCGTTGGCCGTAGAAGTCAGTCGGCCCGAGGTAGTCGGCTATCTCGTCCGGGCTCTTCATCTCTTGAGGTTGCTGGGGACGCAAACAGTTGACCAACTTTACATCCTGGTTCACAAACACATGAATGCTGAGAACAATTGACCTAAAAACGCTCAAAGATAAAAAAACACTCAAAGATTAAAAAACCCCTCAAAGATGTTAGATGGAACTTTGTAAATCTGAGGTAGCGTAATGTCAAGAAGCTAACCCAGGACAGGGAGAGGTAGAAAGCATTATACTCTGCCCCAGAGGGAGAAAGCAACGATGACGACCACAGTGAAATGTGTAACCAGTGTGAAGAAGAACAAAAGAGGCGAACGCTCAGCTCCATAGGGTAAAGCTAAATACAGTCAACTCATTCCACTTATGTTGAACTCGTTTGAGCAGATCATCGGTTACGTCGATCTTTTTCTCAGGTCCCAGCGCCTCTTCTGCTTTACAGATCCCAACAATTATGTTAAACTTTGCTGATGAGTTGATCTTTTTTTCACTCTCCTAACGACACCTTCTCATCCGCAGTGGATTGTATATAAGAGGTGTCCACTGAAAAAATGGGCATAGTCACAACCTGGAAATTGTGAGGGTGTCAATTTTAAAAGCTTGTGGATTCACAACTTCCTATTTGTTTGATTGGTGGTTTATTTTACATGTTTGTTGGATGGGAAATCTAACAACAATAATCAACCAACAGCTGAACATAAATACAGTTATGAGTCAACAAGCGTTCAAAATCGATACCCTCACGGTTTTCAGTTTTTGACTATGCCCGTTTTTCCAGCCCACTCCTCATATACAAAAAGACCGGCCAATGTTGAGCGTACCACGTACCATGCAGAGCCCCTGGCACAGCTGTTTGCGGAAGATGGCGTGGTTGGCCGCCTGCTGGTAGTAAAATCCTGGGTGCTGCGTCTGGATCGCCGTCAGGCCCAGTTTGATCGCCTCGTCAAACAAGTCGCCAAACACCTGAAATCTGGGGACACAGACAAGCATCGGTTGATTTGCCCGGTAGACAGTTATGTTATTATGATAAATCCCAGTTTTCATTTCTTTTGTAAGAGTTTTACGGCATTTGCAACACAATTAGGTCATCATACAAGTACTGAATATTAGAGGTGTTACTAGAGAGTAACATTAAAAAGAAAAATAGGAGCAGAGGTGAGGATGACAGATATTTGACAGCAAAGAAGGAGCAAACCACACCAAAACACCCAGCAACCACCTACTCAGGGAAAGAACAAAAGAACACCCAGCAACCACCTACTCAGGGAAAGAACAAAAAAACACCCAGCAACCACCTACTCAGGGAAAGAACAAAAAAACACCCAGCAACCACCTACTCAGGGAAAGAACAAAAGAACACCCAGCAACCACCTACTCAGGGAAAGAACAAAAGAACACCCAGCAACCACCTACTCAGGGAAAGAACAAAAAAACACCCAGCAACCACCTACTCAGGGAAAGAACAAAAAAACACCCAGCAACCACCTACTCAGGGAAAGAACAAAAAAACACCCCCCCAAAAAAAAACCACGAAAAAAAAAAAAATAAATAAAAAACGTAAAAGGCAAAAGCAACAGTTATCATAACAGCAACCCCAACTACTCAGGAAAAAAAAAACAACCCCCCCCAAATAAGTTTTTTTAAATCCCCATAAAAAAGGTAAAAGACGTAAAGGGCAAAAGCAACGATTACCCTGACAAAAAAGCCCAAACCAAGAGCAAGGAAAAGAGAATGTTTCTGTTTCACTCACTGCTTCGACATCCATGCACTGTGCTCAAAAGAAAGTTCCGGAATGCCCGTCTTTGACTTGAAAAAGTCAATGTGTTTCCTGAACTGTGCTATCGCATCCAAAGGAGCATTATGTTGGAATGACAGCCTGCAAATCTATGAACAAAACAAAAGAGGTCAATATATTGTATAAACCTTAAACTCGTATACATTATAATCTAATATTTCATAACCTAACCAGAGTCAACTTCCAACACCATTTCTTTTTTCTTCTTCTATTCTTTCCATTATAGTTTACTTTTGCGCTGTCTATTAAAGAAGATCCCACTTCAAACAAACCATACAGTAAAATCATTTGCACCACATGAAAGCATTTAGAAAAAGCCGGCAAGGGAGAACCCACAATACAGGCACAATTTCAGACATTTTTCTCGGTACGGGAAAACACGTATTAGACAAATCATTTGCCACCAAAAGCATATCCATGGTATTATTTTCTACAGCGATATAATTGAAAAAAAAATATGTCAAATCCTTTTGAGTTCGAAAACCGTCGCTGCCATCAACACGAAAGCCCTCAGTAAACATAAGCAGTCAACACGAACTATAAACAGCACTTTAAGTACTATGAACAAAACTAGAACGAGACGTGAGATATCTCACCTTGTAGTTGATGAAGCCGGCCACAGTCTTCACCTCCAGCATGTTTGTGTCGTGCATGCGTAGATCTAGCATGTAGCCGTACGCCTGCTTGTAGTGCCTGGGACATACACACACACACACAGGTTACCATCACACAATAGTACACGTTAACTGTCATTAACCCTTTCCTGTACACACAGTTGTATACATTAACCCTAGCCTATTCACACAATAGTACACATTAACCCTTTCCTATTCACAGAATAGTATACATTAACCCTTTCCTGTTCACAGAATAGTTTACAGTAACCCTTTCCTGCTCACAGAATTGTATACATTAACCCTTTCTGGTTCACAGAATAGTATATTTAAACCCTATTCTGTCCACCCCAATCAAACTATGTGGAAAAATCCTGTCCTATTGTCTCACCCAGCCCATTTTTCTCCCAAGAGACTTCCTCAACCGTTACCCTGGCTATGATTTACAACAGACCACTGACATTAAGCAGCATCCTTGTTTTCATATCTAGAGAGGAGATAGGTATGCCAGCGCTGACAAAAGAAGCCAGAATTTACTCCTTACATACAAATTTATTTCCGTTATACCAACACTCGGCGGAGAGAGAAAAAAAAAAGTTATTTTATAGAAAGAAAGAAAATTCAGGAGTCTTAGCAACAGTGACTGGAAAATGCCAAAGGCAAATATTTTTAAAATGGTAAAAAAGTATAAGTTTAACACCCCTATCAACACTTTTAAGTCATTTAAGAGGTGGGACCTCCAAGTTTAACGTCCGTCTCCAAAACGACTGAGCCAAAAGCAAAATTCGTGTAAAGTGTCTTTCCCTAGGACACAACATCGGACCCAGCTGAGGCCCGAACCCGCGAACCCGCAGTCTCACGATTATGGGTCCGGTAGCCTAACCATAAGACCACCTCAGCCACCAGGCAAGTAAAAAGCTATGTGGGCACAACGCACTTGATGGCGGTGTGTGAGTCTTGCTTGAGCTCGTTGAAGAAGGCGCTCTTGAACTGATGTCTGACGAACAGCAGCTGAGAACAGAACGGGAGAACAAAAGTCTGGTTAGCTTTAGTCAGGTTCTACGGCACTTGCAACACAATGAGGTCATATAAGTGCAGAAGATTAGAGGTGTTACAAAAAAATAACAAACACAAAAAAAAGGAGGGGAGATAAAGACGATAGATGTCTGAAAGGAAAGAAGGAACTAACCATACTAGAGCACCCGTCAACAACCCACTTGTAAGGTTTTACGGCGCTCGCAACTGCATACGGTCATATGAGTGCGAACGGGTCGGGCGTATGTTAACAGAGAAGTCCAAACGGGGAATCAGGCTTACTCTGCTCACCTCTCTAGTCTCAACAGCACAAAGTCTGCTTCGACTATCAAGGCACCCCGGAAACAGCGGGTCATAAGAGAGTGACAGACATACAAAAGAAGTAGAGGAAAATGACGCCTTCCTCAACAGGAAAAGACAAAGTACAGTCTCACCTGATGAGTGGTCTTGTTGAGGAAGTCTTTGTGAGACTTGACTTTGCGAGCCTCCTGGTGGTAGTAAGCCTGGGCCTGCTCATAGAAGGCGTTCTCAAGTCTGTGAGGGAGAGAAATAGTTACTCGACAGTTACAGGGATGTATCATCATCGTCATAACATCGTAAATGCTTCATTCATTTCTTTCAAGTGTCGGCTTATTGGTGTGGTTAAAAAGTCTGTAATTCGTGTCATATCCTCATAATAGCTGGATTTCAGTGTGCGTACTCAAAATTCAATCACATTTTCTCGCTTACTACAGCCACAAGGTTGAGTTTGGTGAGCAGGGTTTTTTTTTAAGTTTTCTAAAAAAAATATTTTTTTTAAGACTTTAAAAATTATGTTCTGACCATGAGGACATAGAGCCGCGGGGATGGGTAGGGTGGGGGCGGGCAATGAAAGAAATAGAAGATTTGAATCTTCATTGATTTTGACACCTCTGTGTGAGATGGGACCAAAGATGACATGGAGGCGGGCGGTACAAGCGGAAATGGAAAAGGCAGGGACATCATGGAAACAGTTAGAAAAGGATGCACAGGACAGGCTTCGATGGAGAAATGTTGTTGCTGGCCTATGCTCCACTGGGAGTTAAAAAGGGCAAGAGAGAGAGAGAGTGATGGGACTGCTACTGTTAGTTTTCTTTGTGGAAATTCTATTTCAGCATTCTTTCAACTGTGCCCAAAACTTACCCCTCAGTCATCCCCACTATAAATGCAAATGACAATACCCTCCTTCTTCTCCTCATTAATCTTTAACCAGACATCTCTCCTTCTTTTCATTCGTCTTTAACCAGACATCCCAGTCTCTCGTGCGGAGGCTGCTGCTGGCCACAGGTCCTCCAGGCCCCCATAGAGTGTTGGGTCCTCTCCTCCATCTACGGTTGGGCCTATATTTGCTTCTAGATTTCTAACTCTCATTCTATTACAGAGTTTTTTATCTTTTAAAAATCTGCCTGAACACAGGAGAACTACCAAGAAACCATACTTACTCTTGAAAACAGGTCATTCTTACAGTCTTCTAAAGTTTGACAGTAATAATAATAATAATAATAATAATAATATTAATAATAGACTGCATTCATTATTCATATAGCGCTCTATTCCGTACTAGTATAAGCTGTGAGCGCTTTACATCAATCACATGATCACTGAGCAATTCACACAAGATAAAATATTTCGCATATTCATAATCACTTATGGAATGTAATACAATGATGCGCTGCAATGTGTAAAAAAACACAACCCAAAACCCCCACATGTACAAGACCCCGCGTACTCACCTGACCGTGTAGCCAATGAGGTGGTCGGTGTGAGGCAACACGTACAGCGACTTGGCAGAGATCTCGCACGCTGAACACAGAGACACGGCCCGCTCCGCCGCCATCAGGTCTTCTCCTGTACAAATACGTCAAAGCTTTGTTAAGTCTTTACCCTAGGCATCGTATTTTCATTTTTTAGAGAATAAAGGAAAAAAATTTATTAAAAGAAAAACTTTGTGGTTATGTCCAAAACCCAATTAATGCAGAGTGTATAAGACTTACCAACAACAACAAAAAAAAGAAAGAAAAAAACATTCCACTGCAGATTATTCTAGTTTGGAAATCAGCGTTTTCTACAAATACTCATTTTGAGTTCACTGTGACTTCGTGAAATATGAAAAAAAAACTGGACATCATTACAAATTTGATTATTTTCAACATTAACATTGCATTTAAAAAGACAGAAATCACCTCTTCATATAGGAAAGTTTCAGACACGAACACTTACATACTTACAATGATGTCTCAGTCCACTGGAGTGATGAGAAGCACATCAGCACAATAATTAACGGTCTTTTAGAGTGTATGTGAGTGGGGGGGGGGGGAGAAAGACGGCCAGACACAAACAACAGAGAGAAAGAAAAGAAGTAGGACCTACCAGAAGTACACTCCAACCAACTCTCCACAAAGAATAAAATTCTAAAAACCCAGAATGTTATTCCAGCAGATAAATTCCTCTACATCTTTAAACGGTCTCATTACCTGGAGGAAGGGGCGCGTTCTTCTGGATGAGCACAACAGCTATCTTCGTCCCACGACCCTGCAGGCTGTTTCTGTAGAATATGGGGAGGAAAAATCTCAACATGAGTGTGAAAACGAAGCAAATTTTTTCAGAACTGGCCAAAGAGCCTCATACTCAAAATGTTTTATAATGGACAAGCATCTAACTGTTTTCTTACTAGACAATCTACCAGTCAAACTCATAATATAACTGTCTTGTAAGTGCACAATATAACTGTCAAACTCATAATATAACTGTCTTGTAAGTGCACAATATAACTGTCAAACTCATAATATAACTGTCAAACTCATAATATAACTATCTTCTTAGTGGAAAATATAACTGTCAAACTCATAATATAACTGTCAAACTCATAATATAACTATCTTCTTAGTGGACAATATAACTGTCAAACTCATAATATAACTGTCTCATAATATAACTATCTTCTTAGTGCACAATATAACTGTCAAACTCATAATATAACTGTCTCATAATATAACTGTCTTCTTAGTGGACAATATAACTGTCAAACTCATAATATAACTGTCAAACTCACAATATAACTGTCTCATAATATAACTATCTTCTTAGTGGACAATATAACTGTCAAACTCATAATATAACTGTCAAACACACAATATAACTGTCAAACACATAATATAACTGTCAAACACACAATATAACTGTCTCATAATATAACAGTCGTCTTGGTGGACAAGCATCTAGACAATCTACCAGTCAAACTCACAATATAACTGTCTTCTAAGAGGACAATCTACCAGTCAAACTCATAATATAACTGTCTTCTAAGAGGACAATCTACCAGTCAAACTCATAATATAACTGTCTTCTAAGAGGACAATCTAAAGTACCAAACAATCACAACCATCTTGTAACCAGGGGACAGAATTACCGAACAATCTCGACGCGAGTCGAGCACTCCATCTGTCGCTCCTTCCACAACGGCTCATCCCAGTCCAGGTCAAAGAACACAACGACGACAGACGGGATTTCCTGTAGGTGCTTCTGCAGCCAGTGGGTCTTGAGAATCCCTTTTGGGATGTACCACTCATACGAAGTTCTCTGTCCGAGTAAAATACAGTAGCCCATATAAAAAGCATTCAGTTTTAAACATGAGAAGCAAACCATTAATTAAATTTTATTAATTTTTATACAGTTAACCCTTACTTTGAACCCCGAAATTTACTCGCTGTTCAGCATCTCAAATTATAAATATAAATGATTACTGTTATCTCCACAAAAACATTTAAATCAAAAGAAAACTGTGATTACAGTAATGACACAAACTACTGCCTCCTCTGTCACGGCACTGACCCAATTTTAAATGTTTTTATGAACATTTTTCATGCATACACCCCTTTCCATTTTCACGAGATTTGTATATATATATAATATATATTCCATCAAAACATCAAAAGTGATTCCCGGGTTTACAGAGCTGAAAGACACTACAACTCACAACTAACCTTTTGTTTACACTTCGGGTACTCGTGATCAGCGGTGCACACTTTGAACTGCAGCGGCACACGGTCATTGCGTCTATTGTTGAAGAACGAGTCCCATATGGCTTTGTGCACCGCGTTGTACGTCGTGTCCAGACCGGTCAACGCCACCAGGCCAAGCGGGCGACACACGAGCTCACCTGGCAGTTCACTCGCCCAAGACATTTTGGAAATCTTTTATTGTGAATATTATCACATCAGAGACTGTTAAGAAAAAAAAAAATCACAATTACATTATAGAACCATTATATAATTTACAAGAACTCAAGGGTATGTGAATGTGGGGGGGTGCAGGGGGGCAGTTGGGAGTGCACGAAGCATGCATTAAATGGTGGGCATGAATGTCATATTGGGACATCATTTGTACATATTAAGATTCATGGAATGCAAGGACAAAATTGCGAGCCAGTGAACATTTGTGTGTGTAATGAATGAGAGAAGCCGGACTGAAAAATATTATATAAATTTAAATCAATCATCAATGTCAAAGCATCTAGTTCTGTCTCAAAGCAAGTTTACAAGGCCTACATACACAGTCAGCAACAAAGAGAGAGACTCTGACTTCATTACATCAATGACACGACTTATGCGGATCATCCTCTCGCGACCTCAATGTTTTCTTGTCGTGCTTAACTCTTTATCTCCGAGGGGGGTAAAAACCCACTACGCCGGGACCCTTTGTTAGTGCTAAATCTAAAAATGACAAAAACGTCATTAAATGGGTCATTAAATCAAAACTAACAAACCTATTTTGATAGTTCTTCATCTAATGAATGATGATCCTGTATAAGAGACCTGTTTTTGGCAATTGCTGAAAAGTAATTTGATGTCGAAGTCAATGTTAAGGAATGTGTGTGCCTGAGCGGCTCACTGGCAAAGTGGATCAGACCGCGAGCTGTTGGGAGCAGCTTGCCAGAGATAAAAAGAGTTAATAACACAGTGAAACAGTTCATTTTATAGCAAAGAGTGATCTTAGAAGTTAAATTTTCACTGTTAAATAAAGAGCTACGACAAGAAAGCACTGAGGTCGCGCTCTGTCACAATGAGTCTGATCACTCGAGAGAGGAATAACGAGCTACAGATGTTATATATAGATCAATGTCTTCTTGGATAAACTGGTGTTTACAAAATACAGGAGCCTGCTCTGCTTGGACTGCTTGGAGTGGCCTTAGGTTAGAGAGGTGTAAAATAAAAGACAGTGCGGAGCAGACTTTTCATGTTTCCCTTTCTCTATCCTCTAAAACTGCAGCAATTCATTATAAACACAATATTTACCTTGGAGCCTATTTGTCTTATTCACAGGACAATCTATATGAAGACCTTACTGTCTGACAGAGGTCTCTATTGAAATTGATAGTCCAATAATAACAGTAACAGTGGGCGTGTTAATTAAACTACAATAATGTATTGAACTGCAAAAATAGTTTGTATGAACTGTGTATACACCTAGAACTAGATCTACATGACAGCAGACTACAGGCTGATGCAGTTGGCCTAAGTCAAAGTCAGGTCACAAAGGCAACAAGTTGTTGCAAAGGGCTGGCCTTGGTCCACAGTGCAAGCAAAATAGTTCCAGTTCAGAGGAGAGGGCTTCAACAGATGATAGACTTTTACTTTTGCTCGTCTTAGAATCTTAGAACTCTGCTGACCTTCCCCAAAAACGAGCACTTCAGAAACCAAGCAGGATCTCAAGTCACACTGAGTAATGGGCTGTAATGTCACTTTGGCATCTAACTTGATGGTGACATCGTTGTTGTGTGTTTGTGTGTGTGTGTATTGAGTGTACTTGGACTTGGCTTACCAGCCAGTAGCCTGTAGCAGCTAACACATCAGCCTCAATCATTACGAAGGACAATGAAGGATTATAATTAGGAAGAAGACCCTCTTAAAGCATCAACATTAATCAATAGCCTACTTTGCGAAGATACCCTTTGTCTCCTTGCATTCGAAGGAGGCTTCTCTTTACTCTTTCTTTACCAAATCCTAGGTGCAAGGGAAACATCTACTGTCTACAACGTACACACCTCCCAAGTGTGTTGGTTGTGTTGTTTTGTCATCATGTGTGTCAAAAAGATCGATTCTAAAAATTTAACGTATCGAGTTGTTTTCATGCGTTAGATCGTATATATCCGTAAGGACGGAGAAATACCACATTTTCTTTTTACTCGTCTCTTTTTAGAAATTTTGTTAAAGAACCTTGATCTGATACATTTTCCTTTCATGTGCAAGTTTTTTCAAGCTTAAGGACTGGTTCGATTCTTGTTCTTACTATTTACTATTCTTAAAGGGGAGGGAATACATGAATTTCCAATGAAGGGAAATCTTGAACGCGGCCATACTTATAAAGATTCACAGATATCTATTGATTGATAACATAACTATAATCTGTTGTTTACAAAACTACTCTCTCATTCCAAAAAAGAATTATGTATAATTTACACCCCCCC